AAAAAACCTTCATTGTCATGGTTCAGTAGGATGCCAAACCCTTGAGATTGAGCTTTTTGATTCAGTAGGATGTCATGAAAAAACCTTCAAGGAATCTGATTTTGGGTCCGATCTTGTGATTGAGCTTTCTGATACCGAGATATGGCTTGAGTGGCAGAGTTTTAATGACCGGGACCCTTGAGATTGAGCTTTTTGATTAAGTAGGATGTCATGAAAAACCTTCAAGGAATCTGATTTTGGGTCTGATCTTGTGATTGAGCTTTTTGATACCGGGATATGGCTTGAGTGGCAGAGTTTTAATGACCGGGATTTGGGTTCGATTCTTGCAAAATGGAAAGGGCAATGCGTGACGACAAAGGATTTTGGATCGAGTTCATGTAATAAGAAGCTTATTGGATCGAGATTCTTCTACAATGGGTAAGAGGCAACGAACGGGAGGATGAATGAAACCTCGGAGTACAAGTCGCCAAGAGATTGGTGATGTGGGGCCCATTTGAATAGATTTGTCTTTTTTTTCAGTGACAGTAACATTACGTGGCAAAACATTTTATCCATATCATCATTTTTTTAAGTTTTACCCTCCACATCATCAAAAAAATTATAAAAAATGCCACATGGACGGAGTTAACGGTGGAAATTAACAGAAGGACTAATGGTGTGCATTTCTTAGAGTTGATGAATCAAAAAAGTGCAAAAAATTGTTGAGGGATCAAAAATGTTCATTTCTTAAAGTTGAGGGACCAAATTAAGCATTTAACCAAAAAAAATTGATTTGCTGGCATTTTAACGTGCCACATGTCATTTAACTGATGGAAGGATTGTTTTGGTACCGAAAATGAAAGTTTAAGGATAAATTTAATACTTTTTAAAGATGAGGGACAATTTTGATGCCAAAGTGAAAAGTTGAGGGATCAAAATGATACTTAAACCTTTTTTTTCACCATCAGTGGCCCCACCGAACAGCCTCCTCTTCTTTTAAGTAAAAATCTTTTAATCTTCAAAAACAAATCCCAAAAGCAAGTATTCTTTGAAAATTAAAAAATCAATTTCACTTTATCTTCTTCATCTTCCACGGGTACCACCAGCTGCCGGCTGTTTTCTTTTGAATTTTTTTTTTTTTACTTTTCCAAATCCATTCTAACCAAAATCAGCAACCCATTGAACAGCCTTGTTCATGCTTCATTTTCCTCTCACATGTAAATCTGCTTTCACCAAACTAAAAACTGTAAAATCTAACCCATTTTCTTCATCTTTCACGATTTACTGCCGGTTGCTCTGTCTTCACTTTGCTCGTCCAGATCTGCTCCCATCACATTTGACGGTGCCACCAAAAGATCTTCTTATTCCACAGGTTATTGCTGGTTGTTTCCTTTAACTTTATTTGCAAAGATCTGCCCCACATTCAGCGGCCCCCCACCGAAAATTCTTCTTGTTGGTGACTGCCAGCTGACTCCTTTTCTTTTTTTTCTTTTTTTTTTTTGTGCAGATTTGCTTTGCTCATGTCCGGTGATTCCACAAAACAACCTTCTCCTGCAAAAGCTGCTTCCATGGCCGACGACCAAGAAGGACAACCCATTCCCACCGAATCTGCTCCTTCCATGGCTAGCTAGTGTTAAATCCTCTCATCCCAAAGAGCTGCCATCTGCTGGATCTGCTTCAATGGCCGGTTCCAAGGCCACTCATTTCTTGAAATCGCCTCCTGCAGATTTGGTTAAGCTCTTCCAAACCCAAAATCTCTAAGATGATGTAAACTGAATACTCCAACGCCATAAGCCATGCCATTCAAATTAGATTTTTGTTCCTCATAAGAAATTCCAGATTTTGGGTCCACACTTTGTGTCTCACCCACCGGCTCCTCTTGCCTTTATTTACCCACAGCCAAAAGAACATCCTCTCCCTTTTTAGGTGAAACCCGATTGGAGTAAATGGGTTGGACCTTTCGGAACTTGGCCAGCTTAGAGGAAATCAGAATGGGTTGACTGGATAAATCGCCTTGAACCTGCTTTTGGCCAGATTTGGAAATATGTGGGTTTGTTTGAATTCATACAATTATCCAAATGTAAATTCACCATGGACAAGCCAATCTTGAGTTCGGCTTTGTTATTTTGGTCCGGCTCTTTTAATTGCTTTCATTTCCCTTGTGGAGCCATGTAAGTGAGCCTCTTTAATATTAGTTCATTAACTGGATTGCCTTGCACAGGAGAAGAGATTTTAGCATTATTAACTTTGCCACCAAGTGTTGAATACAACGCAGATTTGAAGCCCTCTTATCCAGCTTTTGTGAGATCTGCCTACGACAAAAGTAAGCCTGTCAATGCTCAAGAGCACATTTCATTTCTGCTTACTTTAATTTGCAAATATATGGTTTGTTCTACTGGTAAAGGCTCTACTAAAGAATTTATCCCATTAGTTGCTGCTTTAGCACATGGTAGACGATTAGCTTTGGGTCATTTTCTGCTTGCTTATTTATATAGGAGTTGCCAAGATGTCACAGCTCATCCCTTAGGCATTAGTGGTGGGCCATTTTGGATTTTGCAGTTGTGGCTTTACTCTTATTTTCCAGCACTTGCTCATGTTTCATCTACTGTACCAGCTCGAAATCTGCTCACTTACGGCTTTATGTTCAAAAATACCGCAAAAAACAAGAGAAGTTTTGAGGAGTGCTTCAGATTTTTTGCTTCTCTTTCTGTTGACAGATCTGATGCAGATTTCGCTGTGTTTCTAAGCAGATTTCACGGCCCTTCATGGTACAAGGCCGATGTCAAATCTTCAGACTTCAGAGCATTTTGGTTTGTTTGTGTGACCTCCCAGGATTTGTTTGTTGGCTGTGGTTTGAATACTCTCAATTCTAGATGTGACGTGGAGCTCTATGCACCGAACCAGTTCTGTCGACAGCTTGGATACTACCAAGACATACCATTCCCGCCACTGTTCTCCTTCAACCACAGCTATCCTCTTCGATTTATGATTGGGAATCAAACATTTTGATCGCCAAGCTTGCTGAAATCACAAAAACTTTACAGACAATGATCTTGCCAGATCCTCCATTCCGATCGATTTGTACTCCCTCCTATAGAAGTTGGTGGCAAGACTATTTCCATCATCAGTTCCTCAGTGTTTTGGACAATATTTCTGCTCTGGCTCTTCTTCCACTCACTAAAAAATTTGAAGAAAAGGATGTTGCAAAGGAAGGTGGTGACTTGGAATCTGCCATGGTTGTCCAGATCAGCAAGCCAGATCTGCCAAGGAGAGCTTCTAGAACTCAAGTCAAGAGGAAAATTGCCACTCCTGCAGATTCCACGGAGGAGAATACTCCCTTCAAGCAGCGAAGAACCGGAAGTAAGTCTGCTTTGGCTTGCAACTTTGTGACATGTTCTTTGCTAACATTTTTTTTTTTTTTTAGGTATCAAGAGGCCAGCAGTGAAACCATTTGCAGCCAAGAAACTCATCAAGTCTACCTCTCCATCATAGTCCACTTCTGCCACGGAAACCCAGACTCAACCTAATAAAACAGAAGATGTTTCTCTCGAACCTGTTGCCACAGCAGATCTTGTTGAAGATATATCTGCTGGAAGTGGCGAAAGCAATTTTGGCTCCTCTCGTACAAAATCTGGCGATGGTTCTTCACCAGCCACAAAGGTTAGGGGTTCTAGATTCTCTTCACGGATAGCGAACAAAAGCTTTAAAACAGTTAGACCAAATGAACTTATCGATCTAAGTCCAGAAAAAGAGAATACCCCTACACCTGTAGCCTCTCCTGTTAGGCAGGTTGATGTTGATGACATTGAGGTTGTTTCACTGTTTTGAAATCTGCTTGGATCTTGAAATCTGTCACTGTATCTGCTAGTTGCTATTTTTCGATCTTTTGTCTTCAAATTTTGTAGAGTGTTGCTGTTGATGTTTCCATGATTGATGATGATTTGGAGAATGAGCTTCTTGCCCAGTTGGACATGTTGATGGACCCTCCTGCTAAATCAGGATCTGTCGCAGATAGCAAAGGGAAAGCTGTTGCTGAAGAAGCGAATCTAGATATTGATCTCCCTACCCAGGAGCATATTAGCTTTGCTATTATGACCTTGCAAGAGCTCCTTGATGGTGATCCTTCTCATTTTTGCAAAGTGCCAAACCAACCAACCGCCTTTGAAGCAGCTTACATCCTTAGTTGAGCTTCACAATTATCTTCTACTCAACAAAAGTTCTGGGCAGATTTCACTACCATTTATAC